AAGACTGCTATTCATACAAACATTAATAAATATATTTCTTTATGATCTATATCTCAAAAATGCAGTAGTCTTGTTTTCAGATATTAACCAAAATTTTAAACCGAGTTAGCACCTCACCCTTAATCAATAAACCTCTTCTTATTTCTTCTCTCTTGGGCTTTTCAGTGCCCTGGCATCAGCAGGCAGACAGCAGAGATGCTCAGGTGAACTCCAAATCCTAACTCTGGGCTCTGTCTTGATGCCTTTTGTTTCTGACAAACAACAGCTAATTGCCTCAATAACAGAAAACATCATATTACAGGCTTCTTTTGATATTAAACATGGAAAAGACTCAAAATTATTTTGCTGGTCCTCCCCCTGCATACATCTGCAAGCCATCTTTGTGACAGACAATAACAGGCAATGCAAACATGCCCTGTGAAATACATGCCAATGTACGTGGCTTAGAAATCAATGCTCAGGCAGCTCCCTTGACAGAAAACCTGCTGCAGATCAGACATTCACTTCTGAGGGAGTAGGCTTCTCTCAATGAGAAGCGATGACATGAAGTTGAACCCTCTCCCAGTATTCCCCCACGATATTCCTGCTTGAGACCGCCTCTGATTCAAACAAGTCGCATAGCCAGGAGGCAGGGAGCTTGCTGAAAGACTGTAGGAGTCACACCTAGTAATGAATTTGCCACAGGGCTGTATTTCTGCACGTGAATTATTTGTAGTTCTTGGTCCCCAGAGCTATGATGACTTTTTAATAGCAAAAACAGTTCCCAATGCTGTACCCAATAGCTATATGGAGGGGGAAAAAAAAAGAAAAAAGAAAAAAAAGATAAAATTGACCATTTATGACCACCAAGTATTAAAAAAGCAGGGAAGAGGCAGGCAAAAGGCAGGCCCTTACAAGCTTGGGGCGCTTGAAACAGTAAAATTTAAAGCTTAATTACAAATGAGCAAATAAAGGGTCAGCTTCCTCTTGGGCTGGAGGCTTTCCTTATACCAGCTGTGGAGGAGGAGTATCCATGCCACCCTAAAGCTCCCTTACCACAAGTAGCAGCCCTAGACCCAGCAACACACTGCATTTCCCTGCCAGCCTCACGCTCTGCTAGTGACGCAGTTTGCCTGGCCAAAGTACAGCAAAGCTATGCTGACCACTGAGTCTTTCCTCTGCCTCCCTTCCCTTCTTCCATACATTAACCATGGCCTGGGCAGATTTGTGCTGAGCTATCTCCGGGGAGTGGCTGACAAACCATCTTACTGGTGCACTGAAGACTTACAAGTCTCCTCCAAACCCAACCCAACCTTTTTGCAGCTGTGCACTAAGGGATTTTGTTGCAAAGATCAAGTGATGGCACGTGACAAAGTATGAAAGTAACTGATATTTATTTTTAGGATTTGTAAACCTAGATACTCAGGAATTTTAATATTTACCAGCCCATTTACAGGTGAAGTACAAAGACCAACACCTTTAGCAACAGCTGCCGATTCATGTTCTTGGTCTTGCTGAATAAATTCGACACCTGTTTTTCCAGGCAGAAGAGCCTGAACAAAATCACTTTTATTGCTATGGATCCTGACCTGCTGTCCAGTGATCAGTCAGCTTGCAAAACACTCTTTAACTGCTTTACAGCTGTTCCATTGAGCTCTGCACATGAACAGTACCTAAAAAAGGCCCCATAAAGCCACAGTGCTTCCACCTTGTATCCAAAGCTCAGCAGTGCTCCTTTCCCCAGTGCATGACCTGAAGTCAAAAGTGTATTTTCAGATCTATCAAACAGGTTCATTACAGGCTTGGTACCAAGCCTATGGCAAACACCAGAAAAAGACCTCAGCTGATGTTGGAGGTCTTCAGATCAGTTGCTGTAAGAAACACATTTGTAACAATGTAGGATGAAGAAACAGTACTTAGAAGAACTGTGGGATCAACAACAGAAACGCTCCAACTGAAGCTGCAAGGCTGATTGCCAGTTTGCATGGTGGTGCTGGGCTTAGCAAAGGTAGGACTAGTCCCTACAACTTCAAGACATTGACTCCAGAGGTGCAGAAAGCTGATCAGCAAATGCTTTTCTTTATATCAGAGTGACTTCCTATGGCTGTCTAAAAACTGGGTTCTCATCTGAACCCACCGACCCTATTCCCTCCCTCGAATCTGGATACAGCTATGAGTTGCTGAGGAGCAATTAATTCCTGCCGTTTTGGACCTCTGTTTTAAAGGTGGGAAGAACTGAGATACCTATCAGCCTCCACTGGTGACAAATAGAGCTTGGGTAATGACCAGAGACTAAATGCACAACTTGCAGAGGGCTCATAATAAGCAAGGGAAATCCTGCCTTGTGCCTTTTAGCTCACTCAGGGTTTACAGGCAAGCCAGCAGCCAGATTCAAAGGAATAGCCTCTGATGGGTGAAGGTAAAGCAGCTGGCAATCCTCATGTCACCTCACCAACCTGATGGTTGTTTTTTTGTACTTAGATAATCCTTGCTACATAGTGTCCTGGCAAACAAAGTCAGCAGTCCGTGGCAATCTTGTTCAAAAAGTACATATATTTAATAATGATAACAAATACAATTTTTTCCCCTGGAATTTCTACTACTGTATTTCAGTAAGTCCCTTCTATGGTCACTGCAGTTTGACTGTACATAGCTACTGTTTAAGCTGGATACATGGTTATGTTTTAGCAGTGTCGTACTCATATATTCTCTATAAATATAATAAAAGTTTTAACACTTCTGTTTTTATTCTGATTCTTACACATATTTACTGGGTTTTCACAAAAAATACATGTCTCTTTCCTGCCTCTCCCAACCTTTTATTGGGTTCCAAATAAACCTGAGATTGTAATTCAAGTCAGTATCTGCCACCTGTTCAGGTATGCAAGTCTGATGCACGCAAAAGATGGGATTTCAGTGGTCCCCGCTCACTAGCTTTGCAGCGTAAACATGTTCTTAGCATGAAGAAAAAGAAAATGCTTTGATGTTTTTAAACAAAAGGAAGAGCTAAAATGGACCCCTGGGATGCACAGGTGCTCTGTAGAAACAGAAGATGACGTTTCAATCAGAAAATGAGTAAAAATTATTTCAGGGTTGTCTTTCTTACCATATTGGGATTTTTATATATATTACTACAGGTAGCTTAACTACCCCAGAGATGGCTGCTCTCACTACACTGAAGAGTACAAGACACATGTGGACTCCCTTCTACCGAACTGGTGAGTGGCTTCAGTGCCGAGGTGAGGGTCCCATCTGCAGGGATGAGAGGGATGCTCTCTCTGGGCATTCATGATCTGCTGGTTTTGCCAGCAAGCATTCAAAACTACTGAACAGTCCAGTTATCTGTTCTGTCAGTATCTGGTTTAGCATCCAATTTTTTTCTTGCAGATTTTGGTGTAAGACTGAGAATCAGAAACCTTCTCCCCTGCCTCTCCTAGCCTCTTCCCCCAGACCCTGTGTATCTCTCTCAAGGAAGTGGAAAGAAAGCTTCTCAAATGGGAGTAAGTCAGCATTTACACAGACACCAAACCAATGGGGCCATAAAATTGTTTGCAAAAATATTGATGAAAATACGGCATGGATTCCTACCTACGGTCTCGAGGCAAAATCCCCATCTTCCAACAACAACCCCAAGAAGAAGACCATGCCTCTGCTGCCTGGGTTTTGAAATGACATTAAGTGGGTGGTCAGCAGTGGGGCACCACTGGGCCAGGGCTGCCCACTTGGGAACCAGACTGGAACAAGCTTTGTTGAGATGTCCCGTACACACAAACACATACACAGGTGCGGTACAGATGAAAGAAAAAAGTAGTCTTTGGCTAAACCTTCTAATTTATAGGAAACAGTTTGAAGACAGAAACAGAACCAAAAAAAGTTACCAACCTCTCAGATGTATCATTTACTTAGAAAAACAAGACCAGTATGCAGAACATCGTGCCTTTTAAGAAAGTTAATCTTCACTGCTCATAACAATACTGAATTTTTGGTAACCACTGCACTACCAATCTTGCAGTATAAAACGACATTGGTACAGGTTCATGTGTCCATTATTAGTCTTTTTAATTCACTGCAGTCTCTCAGAAAAGCCTTCAGGTGTGTCCCATGCTGCCTTGCTGCAACAGGCTAATGCAGTCCTGCACGTAGGTGCACAATGGAACTAGCAAGGCTGCACAGATCGGAGGTGACTGGATTGTTTAAACACAGCATGTTGCAATCTGGATTGCTGTTTAAAGCATCTGCTTGCAGACCCATCATGTGAAAGGAACAGGCCTCTAGTGCGGTGAGTTTCCATGTGATGAAACTTGATTTTAAATAATTATGTTTCTTCTGAGTGACATCATTAAATCACCATTTTCTTTAGGAAAAAAAATATTCTGTTATTAGTTACTTTATATAGTTAACTGTAAAGTCTGCTTTGACTTCCAATACTCACACTTTTTCTGAATGTTTAGATCACTCGTGTCTTTATTCAAGCTTCTACCAACTTCATCTTCTTGGCAGTGCTTGTTAGCAAGTTGACTTTGGATATAGTATATCGAGTTTTTCCGTTTGTCTAGCCATGTGAACAATGCCTGTAGCAGTACCATATACAGTGTGGCACAGGCAGGTGGAGCACAGGCAGTCTTACCACAGATCCTGGATGGGACCAGCGTTCATGGCATCACGCAGATTACCTTGATGAGTCAAACCATCAATGCTCGCTGCTTTTCCAATCAACCTTGCCGCAATTCTAGATGAGAGCACTGAAAATACATCATATTCAAGTAGCTCTTTCAAGACATGTTTTAGTGTACAGTCAGATGCCAAATGCTAGTATCTCTTAACAGCACAAGCAGAGCCCTTTTCTTTCAACTGTAATATACAGGACAATGCCTTCCTTACAAGCAGACCTTTGATTTTCTACGTTGGACCACTGTAGTGTATTACATAGTGACAGTAACATGCCTGTGGCTTTCCCTTCTTGTTAAAAGTGAAAAAGGTGAGGTCCCAGAGAACAGCAGTGCAAATCCCGGGATGTCAGACTAACACTGGCCACTGACAGCATCTGCTGCATTGAAGGAAATCTGCGTGGGGCTCATCTGCTGCAGCTGAGGCATCCTTGCTTCCAGTGGCTTGTCGCTCACTGACTGCATCGTCTGGTTCCTCTTCCGCAGCATCTGTCCGATCCCCATCATGGGGAATCTGCCTCTGCTTTTAACACAGTTAGGGCTGCCCAAGGGGTTGTTGGAAACCAGCTGAGTAGGGGACACCGCTTCTTCCTTTGCCAGATATGCTTTTTCTTCATACGTGAAAGAGACTTGGGTGGGGTGGACAGGGGATGTACTCCCTGGCTGAAAAAGCGGGGATAGTGTCCTTTCACTTGAGCTTTTATAAGGGAAATTCATTGGCGAACCTAAAATCCTGTATTGATGAGAGGGGGAAACCTGATCTATTTGGTCCTCTCTGTCAACCGACTCAAAGGAGTGCACAATATTCAGGATGAGAGGAGAGTCCTTTGCCCGGCCCCCAACCCGGGCTGGCTCCTGCTGTGGGGAATCCTGCCTCTTGAGGAGCCGAGGGGTTCTGGGGGGTGGCTGCTGGACTTCGAGGTACTCCAGGGAGCTGGAAGTGACGCAGCCCGTCTTGGTGGCCAGGGGTTCGTGGAAAGGGCTTACCCCACCACTGGATTCTGCAAAGCAATCAGAAAAGGAACCAGAAGAGCAGATTGCATTTAATAGCACTGCTTTCTCTGCCTTGCGTCAGACAGAGTCCGACATCACCTTTAACAGATTTTAGAAGAGCGTGACAAATGCCCTAGCTAAAACAAATGGTCTTAGGGATATACTCAGAACCTAATTCCCTGACTCTCATTTGATACTTACGTAGTTGTTTCATGGGTAATTTATCTGCCACTTCCCTCAAAGGCAGGAAGAGTGCTTAAACTGAGTAAGACAAGGACATGAAATAGAAAACCACAGATGTCTTCAGCTGTTTGTATTAATTATATCCTTTAAGGCCATGTCTGAAAAATCTCACATTTCTCCTTTCTTAGCACAACTTTGCATGTTTTCTACGAGGTCTGTGTACTGTATTCACTGACATACCTCGAGACACAGGGGACAGCTACGAGTTAATCCCTAATGTCTTTCCTTGCATTTTGGAACAAAATCTGTTCTTGGTTTCACACATGTAAATATGGAGTAGCTGCACCGGCCAGATTCAGGCTGTTACAGTTGGAACAGATTTGCTGCATTGACTTCAGTGAAAAGCTTCTTCCAGCAAGGATCGAATATAAATGGAACAATGTTTGCAGGATTTGGCCCAATAAAACAAAATAGCTCGTGGAGGAGATCTGCTCAGTTTCTACATGATGCTGGCACTCGCTTATGCCAAGCTAGTCGCAAGAAAACACATTTTGCTGCCTGTATGGAAAGCTGCCCAAGGAGCCTGCTCTGCTAGGTTCCCCCTAATTGAAAGAATAGAGGACCGGCAGCTGATCACTGTCCATGAGTTCCCTCAGTCTCAAACCATCTAAAAGGGAGATAAAGTAATTTAGGTCTGCCAGGCCTCAGGTCACAGCCACAAGTCTCACATGTATTTCTTTTGAAAGGGATGTTCTTGGCAGGGGTTGAGACCTGAATGGATGTATGGGATGAAATCACTTGCATTAAGAGTTGTCTGGGAAAAGCAGACCAGGTTTAATCTGACCAGTTTTTTTCTAAAACTGGTAAAAATTATTTGACCACTTCAATTTAAGAAATGTCAAAACACGTTTTCCATAAGCAGTGAAATGCTTTAGCTGAGACCTGAATGATTTTCAGGTTTCAGTTCAAAAAAGAAAGGAGAAACCTACAGAGGAAAAAAAAAAATTAACTAGGTTTACTTCCCCCTGTGCCTCCCTCCCAAAAGGAACAACACATCTGAACAAAATAAGCATTTAAAAATGTTTTTTATATTTTTCACAAAAAGTATTTCCCATTTCTGACCAGTTCTCTGGACTACTGCTAGCTTGTAGCAGAGGTGTCTGTGCCACTGGATGAACACCATTTTGACATTTTTTTCAGGTAGAAAGCATCATATGATAAACTACCAAGTCACGAGAAAGCATGAAACCACCACAAGCCACCACTCTAAATAACCCTCTGACACCACAGTAAACATTTTACATCACCATATTTCCCCCCACTGCTCTGTAGCGACCTTCCCTCGTTTAGTTCCTTCATTTATCAACCAACTACATCACCTGCTTCTCAATGTCTCCCATCTAGTGACACCCCATTTTCCCTGCTGACTCCCCTTTCCCTCCACTCCTTTCTTCCTCCTCCTTTTGTGAGCAGCTGTCACCCATCCCTCGCAGGCTGCCTCCTACCCTGCGTGATTAATGCTCTGCTCTCCTCCGGTTGTATTGTCTTTTCCTTTCTCCATTAATGCTTTCCCCCCCCTCTTTTGCTGCCTGAAATTTGCTGGGGTTGCCAGTCCCACCCACATTTCCTCTCAGCTGCCTATTTCCCCTTCCTCCACCATCAGCTGCTGCACACTGCTTCTCCCAGGGATGCCACCGTTACTGGCACTCTCCTCGGGGTCAGGGATTTCTTTCCCATGCTGCCCCTTAGGCCCCTCTTAGCAAAACGCATTCACCGGTAGGAAGAAGCGTCTCTACCGGCTTTGGTTTGTCAGTAATCTGGGGTGGGTGTTGATGCTTTCAAAGTGCCAGTGTGAAGCGCAGATGATTTTGTATAAGTACATATAAATAGCGAAAGAAATGGGTTTTTTAAACACTGTGGGAATTCTGTCAAATAAAAGGAGGAGTAAAAGTGAGGATTCATGGCTGCTGAACATCGTCATGGTTTCCTCTGGATGTTTCGTTCAATATTTGACTATGTTATCCAGTCCTCTTTCATATACCACCTCCAGAGCAGACAGTGAATGCAAGCCCACGACAATTTACTAACAAACACAACACACAAGATGCTCTGATTAATGCCATGCATGCCAAGACACACACACGTGCACAGGGACACACAACTGGTATTTCTCCCACTGACCTTTTTCTGGACCTCCAGTCTTGGTGACTTTCCGGTCCTTCAGCAGAGCCTTGGTGTTCTGTATCTGTGAGATAAGACAGGAAGAAGGCTGTCTATATGAAACTGGACTTTTCTCAGTTTTCTTTGGGAGCTGACGGTGAAGAATCTCCCCTTTCTTTTCTTGTTCTTTGAGTTTTTTGTCCTTTAAGTTGCAAAACAAACAAGAACAATTTGGTTTACTTAAGGGAAGTTTAAACGACCCCCAGACTTATAAGCACACCACTTACTGAAGACGAATTAAAAAACTACACATTTACAAGGAACTTATCCTGGTTACTCAAAATAACTAAATCTTCCATGTCTCATTTTCCTTGGATCTGTTTGACATGATTTCATGGCTCCCATCTGCTCCGACATTCATGCAGTGTGAAAGTTGGTTTTGGAAAATTAAAGGAAAAGGAAAGCTTTCTCTTTGGAGACCATTTGTCCTAGGAGACCTTGTCGGAGCAAGCAGATACAGGTTTGTGCTCCTCCATACCTGAAATCTGCCTCCCTATTTAAGGACTGAAAAAAGGTCTTTGATTTCTTGTTACTGCACTTCCTCTGACATTTGTAAAGGTGAGCTGCAAAGCTTTAAAGAAGTTTCAACCCTTTGAGTCATTTATCTTCTGTCCAAACAAGATCCAGAGGAATACAGCCCTTGCTTTTACAGCATCTCTGTAACTGCACAAGACATGGAGGGGGACAAAACTACTGACCTAACCCTGCGCTGAGCCCGAACTGCTTTTTGTCATGAGGAAGGCAGCTGAACGTGGGATTGTGAGCGCATACGTCCCAAAAGATAGGTTTGATCTTCAGTGATAACAGAGGAAAACCAGAACCTGGGACTGGGACTTTGAAGGGGAATCCAATTTTCAAAGCACTGTTTTACAGTGAAAATTCATTGTATCTTTTTTCAACACGAATCACAAGATTCTGCAAGCTGCCTAACACTCATTACTTGCCACTGATATCAGGGTGAGCTAAAAGTCTTGTTTCACATCTAAAAATCAGGCATCAAATTTGTGGCTTTGTTTTGCTACCCCTCAAAGGGTTCAAGGATCTCCTGTGTCTCTGGAACAAAGCTGTGTGGTCTGGTTTGAGATGCCAATCTCAAAGAAGTGTGGCTTTTGGTTGCTTTGGGGTTGTTTCTGTGGTTGTAATTCTCATTTAAGCAACATGTTTTGCTGTGTCTTATCAAAAAGTCACTGTAAGTACAAGTCTTTTTTTAAAAATGCAGGAAAGTTCCTTCAACCAGTTATGTGCTAGAGCCTGTAATTTGTCTGATAATTATGCACTGCCCAAAGGGCTGGCTCTCCTGATGATTTTCTTTTGAAAGTCCGTTGACATGAAGTCTTTTGAAACCGTCAAATGCAAAGTAATGCACATACATGTGAGAGAGGGAAAGAAAGACCCAGAAGACAACTTGGGTTCTCTTGAGCCACTGAACATCTCTGGAAACATAGTAAGACACCTAAGAGGAAAATAACTGGACTGTACTCGTTATGATCATTCCCAGCTCAGACAGAGTCCAGCTCCCCGCACAGATGGTGTCTGGGCACTGCTGGGCTCATTAATCTTAATTTTCAGAAGTTACAAAGTCAGAAGGAAGAGCTTCAGTGAATCATGAACTAGAGTTTTTAGTTTTATTACAGAAGTGGTTAGGTGACTTGGGAGAGCAAGAACCAGAGACCCTCTGTCAGCTCCTCCCCGTCTTCACCTCAGTCTCCCTTTGTGCATGTGTTTTTGTTCCCGGCCTTCTCTCCATCCATCCCTTATTGCCTCCAACTTCTTTCCCTTTACCTAGATAAAGCTGGCTAACCCTTCCACTGAAACAAACCAACGCATTATGGAGGCATCATCGCTTTGCTTACGTGATACCTCTTCATTCACCCAATGTCTTCCCCCTTGCCTTTACAAGCTGTAAACCCCTCTAGCACAGAGTGTTTATTCCTCCCTGCCCATGCTGTGCTTGGAACAATACAACATCTGATCAGTCCCAGGAACTATCTTGGCGAGCAGAGTCACTACTGACAATGATGAAGTAATAACAACAGTCATAACAACAATAGCAATAATAATAATGCTGTGTGAATAGCACCCGGTGACAATAGTCAGTGGGAGCTCTACAGTTAATTTTGAGCCCACCACACTATTTTTCCTCTCAAGACTCAGCAACTCTGCTGCCAAGTTCAGCAGAGACTGGGCTCTACCGAGTATCTTTTTTTAAAGGTACTTGTGAGGATGAGACCAAGTGGTGACTATATTAAGCCTAAAGGAGCCGATCGAGATTGTTAGCAGCTTTCTGTTATTCTGGATAGGTGAGGAAAGAATTTGCATGTCGGTTGCTGCAGCATCTGTCAGAATGCAGGACGTTTCAAGGCTGCAATATTTTTAGCCCAATGGTGCAAGAGCCAAGCTGCATCTCCTCACTGCTCTGCTCTGAGACATCTGGCAAGTGCCCCTGACTTTACCTTCACATTGCTGTAATGTTTTATAAGCAACAGTAACACAATTAAATCATCCATGAAAAAGCAAATTCACTTATCTGGTGTTAGCAATTAATTACTTCACCCTGGATGAACGTTGCAAATAGTCTTATAAGTATATTTAAAACTTACTAACACTGTTTCTCCTAGACGATGGTTGTAAGAAGGGAAATTACCAAAATCCTAAACTCCCAAGACACCACATACTATTATATTTTAAAAGGAAAGGAAGATTTCCTTCAGGGGAGTTATAAAAGTTGCTCTTCACTGTACCGTGCACAGCCATGTAATGGCACACTGTCACACAATGCAAGAGTTGTGCCGGTATGTTATACTTGAATAGGTTTGGCATTACATCATCCTCTGCTATTTCCTGTCCTGACCTTGACCTTAAAACTTACTTTTAGTCCCAGCAATGGATTTGAAAGGAAGATAAAGTGTATTTGCATTGGCTATGTCTGAAATGGTGATAGGACAACGACACAAGTTCTAAAAAACTGCAAATTCCCCAAGTCTGAGCCCACTGGCTACCTGTGGGAGGCAGGTATCCCAAGCGCTGGTCCCCTGGACTCACAGCGGGGGGGGCTGGCATGACCACTGCCTGTGTGCCCCACTGCCTGCCCCAGCAACTGGCAGTGCTGCTGGCAGGCAGCCCCCTGCCTGAGGCAAAGTCCTTATTTCACATCGGAATAAATTGGATCGGCTGCTGAAGCTGAAGCTGACCAGCTCTCCTCTCCCTGCTATTCCCATGGCAACGCACAGCAACACTCTCTGTGCAGTGTCTGCCTAGGGACCAGTGTCTCCCAGTTCCCCTCTGGAAATGGGAGGTGATAAGGGGACTCTTATCTACAGCTTATGAACCCGCCTGAGCTTACAAAATTCCTACCCCTGAGTCCTGGTGGCACTCACTGATCCCAGCAGCATGAGCTAGACACTACCAGGGCTGTGTTCCCATCCACATGAAGGCATTTTAGGAAAGATGTCTGCCATAGGTACAAGTGGCAGTAGCATCCCAGGGTCTGTATTCACCCATGTGTGCTGCTACAACTGTCCTGGTGCAGGAAAGGTAACACAATCCCCTTGTGTAAATACACCTAAAGTGATATAAAAAATGCTTTATACTCGGCTATGACCATGCAGAAAGAGAATGTACTGTATTATTATAATGGTGTCTGCACTGTGATTCCATCAAGGTAACTATTTCAAGAAAGAAATGACACCCCCTCATCCTCTAAATAGCTCCACTTTGAGTGCAGGAGAGGCTTCGGAGGGAGCCTTTATCCCTAAGCATGCCTAGAAACCAAACTGGGGTCATACAGTGGTGCTACCGTTAATTTTCAATTATCCTTACAGAAGCCAAACATCAGTTCCCCTCTAGAGGTATGGGGATTTCAGAGCCACCACCAAACCAGACCATGCATTTCTCTCTCAGCTACAAGCAGGTGCACAGGCAGGCCTTGCTAAAGCCTCCCTTGCACAGGGTAGGTATGCAGAAGATCTAAGCTAATGCCTGGATGGCCCATGGTTCTCAGTCACTGCACAGAGTAATGACACCAGCAGCTGGAAGAAGCTGGCCCGGAGAGCGCTGGGATGTACCATCTGTAGTGTTCACCTCCAGATACCTGCCTGTGTTTCCAGAGGAAAGTTGCTCTGCAACAGCCTGAAGTGAGCTGTCAAAGAGTGTTTTGAAATATTATATTCATTGAGTCTACCCACTGCTGATACATTTTAAGTAAGGTGGTTTTTGATTTATGTAAGAAAAGAATGATAAGTACTTTGCCCTTATATTTCCATCTGGCTTGCAGTTCACCTTGTCTGGCAAGCAGCCTTTAAAATAAACAAAACCAGCCATGATACGAATCAGATCATCAGTCCAGTGCTGAAGAGCAGCTTTTGAAATAGGTAGATTCTTCAAGAATACTGCTCTTTGTGTTGGTAGGTAAAACTTGAACAGCTCATATTACTCTTGTCATTTTAGTGCTTGGCAAAGAATCAGCCAGGGAAGAAAAATCCAGCCATGAGAAGACTACTGTTACCTGATATGTATTCTTTTAATACAAACCACCTTTTCTATTCACAGGCAAAAAGACTGGAGGCTGACAGAGCAAAAGGTAACCTGGTTAAATCTTTTCTCCAGCTGAGGGAAGTCCTGCATGGTGCAGTGGGCTAGTTCTGCATCACTTCTGCTAAGAAGCAAAATTATACTAACTTGGGCAGAGTTTTGTGCTAATACAGTTTCATCATTTCTTGAAGTCAAGCCAGGGTTGGCCCAGGGCACCAGGAATTCCAGCTGACCAGGAAGGGTCACCCTGGCTGTCTCTCAGCTCTCTGCCCTACACCACACCAAGGTCTTGAGACTCAAGACAACACAGTTACAGTCTTCTTACACCACCAGCAACTTGCATGCCACAGAATGAAACTACGGAGCCCCCTGAAGAAGTTTGTATTATTTTGCTAAACAGAGCATTTAAAACTTTCATTTTCTTCAGGAAAGCTGAAAGTGACCTTTAAACTTCCACCCTAGGGGGTTGCTATTTGTTCCCTTGAAAATAAATTGACGGATTTGTCCTGCACAGGCAAGACCATAGGTCTTCCTTTTCTCCACAGGTCCAGAAACCCATTGCCTTAATCACAATCACCAGGGACCCTCAAATTCAGTCTTCTTTCAAAGTACCTTAATGAGCTTTACTTAGCTTTACCTCATAGGAGTCTTTATTTGCCTTGTATTTTTCTATCTGGTATAGTTGGTTCTTGTGGCAAATACTGTCCTGGCCTTCAGACTTCTGCGGAGAGAGAAACACAGAAAAGTAAAGTATGTAAGATAATTAGAGAAAACAAACGTTCAGTTACTGCTTAATGGACCATATCTGCTCTTGGCATTCAGTGAAGGTACATCAGCTTATAGAGATGCTGAGTCTGGTCCATTACATTTTAAACATCATTGATGGCATCATCATTAAAAAAAGCTTGTAAAAGAACTGAGAAGAGAAAAAACTGAGAAGCTGTGGTCAGATCAGAGGCTGTTGGGGATAATTTCTCTAAGAAGCAAATACATTAAGAAGAAAACTCCATACAACCCACCCTCCTGCCCATGCAGTCAACATAGGAGCCTACAGACCCTCAACTAGTTAAGACTCCTCACTGGACCCACAGGTGGCTATGGGGAGAGGTGAAGGCAAGAGAGCATACAGCTTGTATTTGTGCACCATCCACATCCTAGCATTCCAGCAAGTACCATGCAGAACATGGCTAGAGAGCTCAGATCTCTCGGATGTACAAGGAGGGATGACGTGGCAGCAGGCTTCTGCCCTAGAGAAAGCTGCTGTGCAAACCCGTCAGTGGCGTTTCTGACCCCTAAGCCATACTCAGGGGCCAGGAAGGTCAGCAGGATATCAGGAGACTTTATATTCATGTTATTTCTCATGTAAAACTTTCAGTTAAGCCTCCACTTAAAAACTAAATAAAATCTTAATAGCTCTTAAGCTTCCTCTTGATTTCCTGAATCAAGTTACATTGTGTTATTGGTATTTCAAGTGGCAGAATTATCTCAACATATAGACACAGTACGCCACAAGTCACAAGTATGGCTCTGCCTGGAAACAGTTTGCTCTCTACAGGGTAACTGCCAAGCCACAGAAGATCTCCTATGGAAACAGGTACTCATGAGACATAAAGCCAATCAGCAATTATCTTTGCCACTTGGGGAATTCTTATCTGAAATAGTGTTAGTAGCTTGCAAGGAATATGTCCCCTTCATGGTCACTATTACAAAATTAGAAAAAAAACCCCAACAAACAGATAAAGCCTTGAGATCAAATGCCAGCAAGCAGGGAAACTTTTAGCACTTTTTTACCCTCCTTACCCACTTGTCCAAAGAATCGGCATAAAGCAGTACGCACCCTAAGGCTTGCCAAGTAGCGTTCCAGCTTCTTGTTAAGTAAAAAGTAGATGGCAAGTGTGTGACTTGCCCTGTTTGAGAGCACGGTGTTGATGACATCGCTGTTCTTGTAGCCCAGCTTCTCGGTCATATGGAGCAGCACGCTCTGGCTGAGGTCCTCAAGGTGAATCCTGCACAGAGAGAAAGAGACAGAGCACACCACTTGTACCATCCTCCCAGCAACAGAGTCTTGCCAGCCACGCGGTCCATGGCAGAGCATAAAGAAGAGGCCTGACAGGCTCAATAACATGGGAGTGATTAGCTGTGACTATTCATGAGCAGGTATTAAAAGGGCAGACTATTTGGGTACCATGAGCACCACGGGAAGCCGTGACAGCTGAACAAACAGCGCTTTCCCCACCATGTCCCACCCTATCGCGAAATGGCACCGTGATGCTCAGGACACCACTGTTTGTTACCCTACTTCTGACCAGTGATGACCATCAAGATCATCCAACTGATTTTGAAGGAAAAGAGGTAAAATTCAACTCAGATAGTTACATTTTGCTTTCTGAAATTACTCTTTCCTTGTAATCAAACACCAGAGTGTTCAGCTACACTCCTTACCAGTTGCACAACAGCTATGGAATTTCACCCCGGAGAAAGGGGACATACAGGGAGGGTTATTACAGCAGCTCTCAAATTGTAGAACTGCTGCCTTACTCATATCAGTTAAAAGCAGAAGTACAATGCATGTTTATGTATGTGCTCTCTTGTAAAGTCTATAACAGACTTAGCCAAGGTGGGAAATGGAGTACAGCAGCCTTGTGAAAATGGCAAAGCATCTTCTCAGTATAAGTTAAAACCAGATTTTCCAAATAACTCTGCTCCTATTTAGACCTCTAAATGTGCTGGCCAGCTTCCCAGATGTGCCTGTCAACTCCCATCCATCTCCAAAAAAACGCTGGGTTTTGTCTGGTTTCTAAAGGATATTGCTTGCTCCTAATATTGAGCCTAATATCTGTCTAAGGCAACTTAGGGGAGCTTAGGCTGTGGGCTTTTTTACAACGTGCCTTCAAAAGGACCATTCTCTACCCTCCTCACTCCTGCCCTGCTGTACTCCTGTGCTGTGCACCTGTGATGCGAGGAACGCCTGGAGAGCAGCCTGGGTCTGATGCAGAGAAGGGCTTAGACAAGATGTAAAACACAGTCTGGAAAATCTCAAATAACTCTTCTCCTTTATTCGGCGTGCTTATTAACATTCGTTCTGCAGCTAAGGAATGCTTGGGGTTGGTTTTTTTTAAGTTCAAAAGCAAAACTTATCTTGGCCATTACACATTAAAGCACCTAGACAGCAAAATAAATTCAAGCAATTTCCACTTGAAGTGCTCAGCAAAATGGGAAATTTTTGCTTGCCTTCAGGGAATTTCTTTAATAAAAGCAAGCTTGTAAAAAGCCTGGGAGAACATTCTCCTGAAAATGCAGGTTCTCCATTCTTCCGCTCCATGCTCTCCCCTCTTTCTACCAAGTTCTTGTCTTGGGAACAATGGGTGCTACCCCCAAAATGGTAGAAGAGCACTGTAAGAACATAACACAGCTTCTTGCTTGTGTTACAAAAAGCATGATTAAGAGAGGAAGTGATTCCTTGCAAATTCAGCAGTGGATTTTTCAGAACTATTTTGACACATCTTACCCACATCTGCATACTAGCAAAAACGTGGAGAAACTCTGTTGAAGCTGACTCTAGAGGCACCTTCTAAGACAAGCTCAAAAGGAGTCTGGCCATGTCTTTAAATGTTTCAAACTTTATATAGAGTATTTTCCCTATAAGTCTCCAGTCTGAGAAATTCTATGTAGGACAAGCTTGGGGCATCAACTAATTAAACTAAAGAAATAATATCCAAAAAAAGAAGTGAAAGAAAGAACCTGTATGGCTTTTATCCTTTACAGCTTCACATAAAACCCAAGTTTAGACAGGACTATCTACTTTCTCTTGTTTTCACACCACATGATGAGAAAAGCAGTGCAATGAGAAAGAAAGAAAAAAGTAACTGGGTTTTTTTCAATAGCACAGCATAGTATTCCGCACTGACGTTCCCTTTAAAAGTGCTTATAATAGGAAAGGATTATTATAATCACCATATAGATATATACACATGATATATATGCATGCCTTCTCTATAGTTTGGCACTGCATTTTCTTCTCTTCTTCCATTGGATTTGCTTGCCTTTAGGAGGGAATGATTAATGGACACTTCATAAAGAGCACTGCACAGCTATTCTATCTAATAGAGGCCGGCCTCTTTTGTAAGTCACCTACCCAACTGCACCAATGAGCAAACTCTAGAAGGGACACTTCCACCAGAACCTGACTAAAGCCTGACAACTGCAAGCTAACAAGTCAAAAACAGAAGCATGAAGATGCACCTACAAATGCAAAAGAATTGTGAAAGCGCTTTCAAGCAGTATTTCTTTCTTTTTCCTCTTTTCTGTAGATCAGACATACAGAGCAAGAGCATTAAATTACCCATACAGCTCTCAGTTACACTTACATTCACTTAACAGATGCCACGTTTAGTAGATTGATTAGACTCATAATGGCAGTGATTTCATTAGCTTAATGACTCATTCAGTTTACACTTGTTTTCCCTTTCTTTACCATACAATGTTCATATCTACCATACTTCAGTACAGTCCAATGCACCATGGAAACACAGATTTCCTTTTGTTGGACAGCATACATTGCAAATTAACTCAACTGCCCTTAAATTTGGGGCAGTAATGTCGAGATAATGTGCCTGCCTGTTCTCATTCTTAGTCCTTGTGAATCAATTGTTCACAGGGACTATCTTTACATTCTGTCCAAGTAGGTCTGAGGATTACAGGCAGCTAGCCTCACATTTGCCCTCCTGGTTTCAGTGGATGGCTTTAGTGATGCCTCCAGGCATTCAAGCTGCTCAACATCCATCCAACCATATTTTCAGGGTGGGAGACGTGTTATTCTCCTCAAGTCAAAGAACGGCATAGTTACAGTGATTCTCCACAACGCAGTACTTGAAAGTTAAGACTACACCTCTGGAAGGGAAATGCTTGCTGTTGAATTAGGGCACCTCCGTTCCCGCTCAATGCAGAAGGAAAAGGGAGGTGACTTCGGTAGGAGCCAGGACCGTGTGGGCTGCCACATGTAAGCCAGCCGACAGCAACAGCAAAAGGAAAGGTCTCCAAAATTTCCTAAAGGCTGTCCTGAGATTTGGCACTCAAACTGACTTCCTGTGCCCCAATTCAGCAGGCTCAAGCAGTAGCAGCAATCATCACCTGCTTCAGCAGTAAGAGAGGGGTGCTGCAGCTGCCTCTTGGCCCCACAGGGGTTGGACCCACGGCTCTGAAACATACCCTGTTCCTCTGGCTGGCAGTAGAGCAGAGGGCAAAATGAGTGGCAGGCGCTCTTACCAGCAAAGCTATGACCTGGACTGAATGCTGAAAGCTGGCTGTATGCATGGCTTGAGCGTGCCTGTGGGACCGAGTCCTTCAGAGCACCGACACAAAGAGATGACTTGGCTGGCGAACACCAAATCATTTTTGGGTGGAGGACGGTGGTTCAAAAGTTCAGACAAAGGTCAGTCATCACTCCCCAGGCATACGCTACATCTGGTATCTGGCAACTGAGTAAACTGTAGGGAGGAAGTTAGGACTCTTAGGGACTCTCAGTGAGTTAGGACAGGAATTTTGGGGCACTATTAGACTTCAAGCACCAAAATTCAGCTTTAAGTTGCTTTCTTTGCTTTAGTGTTACTTAGGATCTTGGCTTACAAGCTAGTAACTCCTACAGTGAATCCTGGGCAAGTACTACATTGTGTATGAGACACAGCTGGAGGGCTTTGATACGGGAAGGAGGTTTTATCTGATCAAATATAGACATATATTTCTAAGTAAGTTGCCTGTGGCTCCATTTACAGTCACTGGAGAGGAACTCGGATCTCCTGGGCACAAAGTCATCCTATTGCAGAATACAAAAGAAGTCAGATGAAACATTCTGTAAAAAGTGCCCTTACTTTTCTCCAGTGACTGTAATGAGCACCCAGGCTGACTGGCTTGTGTGTGGACTCTGTGTTGCAGGTGTTTAAACTCAACTAAGACTATTTCTAACCAAAATGGAGCATAAGTATCTTTCTTATTCTTTTTCTCTAGATGGATGTCTGACTGGCCGTGAGGTTTGTTATCTATTTGTATATAGTCATGCATTCAGCATTGCACAGGTATTCAACAACCAAAAAAGCAAGATCATTTAACGCTGACCTTTCTCACTACTGTTTGCATATTTACCTAATTCACAAAACCTCATGTATGTATCACAAGTAGGCATAGACTCTACTGTAAAAGTAGCTTAGCTTTACCGACAAACAAGATCATCAGAACTAGTGAACTACCTGTCACTCATATCCATTCCAAGGTCTGGAGCCAATTAATCATATAATCTGCATCCCAGACCACCCTGCAAATAATGCATCATATGCCAGCTTCTAATTTAAGGTATTGTTTTTGACCATTTCAAGCAACACAAATTCAAAGGCCAATCCTAACAACTTTTAGGGTGGAGTCACAAAAGCAATCCCAGAAAATGCAGTGGGATGCTGTCATGCAAGGAATGAAACTGCAACGCCAGTCATTTATGTTTTAATGTATATACACCCTGGCAGGCTTTCTCCCCTCTTTTGCACAGTACCTGTTTGGATATGTGACATTAGGTGGTGCTCTCCCAGGGTAATTCTCATTAAGCCATCGATTTGCGAGCGCCTGCTGGATGTTTGGTCTCTTAGCAGGATCTGGCTCTAGCAGAGATCGTAGAAAGTTTATGGCCGCTGTGAAGAAATCAAGAAAAACAACAGCTATGTCATATGCTTTATGACTTAACACAGTAGCTGAGTTACTACAGGTGTGTAGCCTCGCCAAAAGTATACTAAAAAGGAAAGTTTTCCTTACAGTATGCTCTAATGTCCTTGAGAAAAAAGAAAAACCCTGATAAGGGATTAGTAAGTAAAATAAACAAGAATTTATAGTCACAATGATTTATAGAGTCATAAAGGAGAGAAGAACAAGCACCTTTTGTTTCAGAGCTTGCTTGAAGTTTCTGAGCAGGTCAGCCAAAATTTAACTTTGTATGAGGACAAGAGGCTGGAGTCAGGTCAGAGACAAAAAACTTGATCTGTGTTTAAAGTAGAAGGAGGTGGACTGGAGGTGAGTGGAGGGGAGGCATGCAAGGCTGGGAGGCAAGACATGGAGAATCGGGCATACTTTGACATTGTAAGGACAAATTCCCTCCTGGCTTCCATCCAATCTACAGTCATTTGCAGGAGGTTCCAGCCAAATTAAAAGAGTACAGTGAAATTAATAGGCTTTATTCTATTTTCAGATACTGAACCTTCAACTTTCAGTGACATTCAACCATTCTTCAGGAATTTCTGTCAAAAACCTTCAAAAGTATTTCTCTGATATTTTTAAGTCATGTGCTTCTTATAGGGTTAGGAACAATGAAATTGATTTGCTTAAAGACTCACAAGAAGTGCCTATCTGAGCAGAAAATAAACTATGTTTTAAATAGGTCTGGTCTTTATTCCTCAAATTATCAAGGCTAGATTCAGTTTATCAGCTACAAGATAGTAAAGAGTTAACTATGTCCTCTACAATTCCCTTCACGAAAGATAAAGAAACGTAATCCTGGGAAAACCAAGATCGGAATTATTCTGTAGAGGAGATAGAGTCAAGTGAGATGATGCCAAACGAGTCCTGAATGAAGTCAAAGGCAAGCAAGAGGCAGAAGTGACGGCTGTGGCACAGTTTCCTCCAGGTCAGATGGGCAGGACCTTGGGCGCTTTTTTCCACCTCCTTCCACAGCAGAGCTGCAGTTTGTCTCCTATGCTTTCCTGAGCGTGCTGTGTCTACTCGTCTCCTTACTAGTGCAGCACAGGACCACCATGGCAGGGGACGGTGTCTTCTGGGATGTGTCCTCTGAGTAAGCCACAGCACAGCCTTGCCAACACAGCTACTTCAGCTCAGCGCAGGCAAACCAAACGCCTCAAAGGCTTGTGTGACAAGGTAGATCAAACTGGATGTGCTAACATCTCAATACCAGAAAACTAGGAAATTATGAGCCAGTCCTCCTGTTTGGCTTCATAGGCATTTGGTTTCACCACCACAGCATGCTCATGCGGCACCACGCTGTCCCGTTCTGAAGCAGAGTGGCTGCGATAGCTCTTCTCCACCTCCTCCTCATGTAAATAGAATACAGTGAAACCCTCTTGAATTCCTGTCCCCATGTGCAATTTAAGGAGAATAACACGCCTGCCAGTGAGGCCACGATGCCCTCACTTCAAAAGGGCATAAACATTAACCTAGGCACAGCGCCACTGCCCTTCACAGGTTCTCCTCTACAAGACTGCTGCCCTCCTTCATGTTTGCCTGGCCATGCCCCTCCAAGCACTTTTATCACCCCAAGCCCACCCATATCACCCCCAACCTGCAGCACAGGATGGGACTGCTGGGCTGATGTGCCAGGACAGGGTGGCGGATGAGGGAAGGAGGGTTTCACCTCAAATAAATCAGCGTTAGGCCTGATGGGTGCCAACTCCTAACAGCTTGGGTAACCTCTGCGTTCAACATCCTGCAAAAATCAAGCATCAGCTGGAGAGTGCCCTGAAAGGCTACCAGTTTCAATTAAGGCATACCATCAAAAAGTTTATATTTGGAAGAGAGCGAGCTATGGTTATATACTGGTTTAGCTAGGCATCGGCTGGGTTTTTTCTAAGCTCTCTCTTCACAAATCACTGACTTATGTGAGATATTTTACTTAAATCCTTCCCATCATTTTTGTGATTTTCCTGCAACACCAATACTGCAGAAGCAGCAGGAAAAGCCTACATCCACGTTCACAAACCTCCTGCAAGCTGATGCTACAACTGCTCTCTGCATGCCCTGAGCACTCCTCGTCATGCCTCTCAGGTGCAGAACCCTCCATTACGGCAATAAACAACCCCCTTGTTCTTCCATTTCATCTCCTCTCTCTTCAGTACTTCCCTCATCTCTGTGCTAGAAGCTGCATGCATCCCACGTGCTCAGGGTGAAATAAATAACCCCTCCTCAAACCAACACCACCCGCCTCCGTCGCCACCACCCTCAATCCCCAAATCAGCTAACATCTCCTTAAAAAATCTTAATTTCCCCCCACTTTGGCAAAAGGCAGACTAATTAAATAAGGCTTGTGAAGCAGCACAGACATCAACAGATCCAGACCAGGAGAAACTAATTTTGGAGAGAAGATCCCCCCCAGGAGCTCCCCATCTGCCTAGACCTGGGCAATGTAGAGGAGGTGAGGAACAGCACCTTGGCTGATTTGAGCTGTGGGATGGTATGAGGAGGAGAGAAGCCTTTTCCAGTTAGTTCTGCAGTGGTGGGACAGCAAAGTTAATACCCCAGGAAGCAAACACAAAGCTGTCCAATCGGTTTTTGGACCCATCGTGCCTGAAGCCATTTTTCCTGGTGCATCAAGTAGGCTGGTGAACAAATGGCTCCACAAACCACCCAGCCAGGGCCTCGTAACGCGAGGCCTCGATTACGACGAGCTCGAGAACAGCAGTAATGCCATTAGCTGGTGACCTGCACTCAGTGGAATTCTGTTCCCAGGGTGTAATTTTGGGGCAAACTTTGCTCTTTTGACAAATGACAGACCAGCATCATGAGAAACTACATTTGTCTCTTAACACCCTTGGGCATGCTGAGCTCAGTGATGACCAGGAACAGAGCGTGCTTCAGGTGGGGGTTACAAGACCTCTGCTGTCTTCATTTTCCTTGTCATGAACAAAACCAGCTTAGTGTGTTGCTCACACTGTGAGCTGTGGTTAAACTGAGGTGTATGGGCGTTGCTTAAAACACCAGAGGGAGAAAATGCAGTGAGGTCATTTCACAGGCCGCGAGCGAGCTCCACCTAATAAAATCCTTCCTCCAAACTACAGACACAGATAGAAGATGGCCTTCCTTCTAGTCTTCACTTCATTTCTCTGCTCCAGAAGGAAAACCATGAACACACAGAAGCGGTAAGTCGAGGGAAAAAAAGGAATGTGTGTAAGGTGAATACCAAATTCCTGAGCAACTGAACTCTGCTCACCTAAAATCAATGATGAGGTACCTATGTTGTTTAAGAAACTTAATGAAAAATGGCTTCCTAAATGGGAAAATCAAACACTAACTCCAAATTTTCCCTGTTGCTACACAGTTGCTTTGGGTGCTCATGGTCACCCAACATTTTAACTAATGCAAATAAAATATACTCTCAGTAATAAGACTGGCTACAGCGGGACTGCGCATTCAGCAACGATGAAATTAAATATTGAAGGACAACATACTGAGCAAGCAAAACAGTCTTCTGCAAAAAAATCTCTTTTCTACTCTCTATGTGAATTTACAGAAAAAGAAAACCTGATTAAAGAAAAAGATCGATAAACCTAAGAAGTTAACAAACACAACAATTCGCAGACCAGAGGAGCAGAGTTTCTACCTACTGACCCAAAGCCGAACCGTGGCAAGAACAAATGTCATCTTAAATCACAGTCTGCCATGTCACTGAATGTGCCCACCTGTCAACTTAGATCAAGAACCGATGCGTACCTTTGTTCACAGTGAGTAAAGGTTAACATGTTTAAATCTGTTCCATTAATTTGCCATCATCTCTGAAAGTTCAAGCTGATATAGTTCTCACAGAATAAACAAAATACCGTTTTCACTGGAGACCATGGTGTCAGTGAGCTACAAATTTTACAGAGATGGATTTGCAAAAAAATTTCATCTCCATTATAAAATGGTAGGATGAATAAAAGAGTAAAATGAAACTTCTCAAAGCAATGTTATCCTTTTTTGCTACGCAGGGTCTGGTCTTCTACAGGCTTTTTGTGGGTGATTCAGCTATTAACATGAGTTATCCCAGTGCAGTCAGTGAAATCTCCCATTTAAAGATGACTGAAAGGAAACAATGATTGGAGAAACAGTCTATTGTTTCAAAGACTCTACACAGCTGCCATGTAACTGCTCTTTATTGGTAAAAGCCTCACTCTGGGAGGTAAGTTTGGTAATTTTTTTGCCAAAATTGGAAAATGTTCACTACGACATGCAAGTCCCTGAATTCAAGAGTCACTTTGCAATTGATGCAGGATTTGGCATCTAGATCAGTACAGTATGAAGCAGTCAGTATAATCTTTCTTTTAATTTACTCAGTGGGGCTTTAGAGTGTGTGCTAGAATGTTAAAATACCCACTGTGTGCAACTGAATCCTAACAGGAAGCCTCCAGAATGGAAATACCAAACACTCTGATTGCATCAAAAAGACTGCAAGAGTTGCAGCAGCCCAGCTCACTTGTAAACCTACCACTTTACAACATGCCAGCAATTTGAACTGCTGGCAGGAAAAGCGTACTTCATACAGATGCTGAGTGAACAAGGTACAACATACCCCACCTAATCCATGGATAACCTGTGTCAGAAAACCCTTAACTACCTACTTCTTCCGTAGGCAGGTAAATCTGCACTTGAAGAATTCACCTTGTGACACAACTTCTCCTATCCCCCATGGCAATGGTTGCTATCCCTAGTGTACTGAGTGAAAATGTATGCTCTGTTACCATTTTTCTATTTGCAATCTTTTAATTTTATTGAATGTCCCTTGTAAACAGGCTGCCAGATAAGGAGAACGTGATCAACATGATCAACAAATTTAGCATACAAAAATAAAACCTAACTACAAAACAGAGTTTGTTCCAAATGCTGACAATGGTCTTGCTATAAGCTAGAAAATTATTCTGTTGCCTAGTGACACGGCTTTGAAGCAGGAATTAATATTTCTAATACTAATACATCAACAATTTTGCATTTTGTGAACACACAAAGGTTATCACAGGCCACGGTCCCAAAATATCTTTCTGTATGCATGTCATTATTCCGTAACAAATGTGAGGTCATTCAAGGTAGCTTATCCCTCAGCCTTAGTCATGAAAACGCCCAGGAATTAGTTATTGCAAAATAATGTGTTCATGCATCCGTACCCTATGCTAAAATTTTCTGCATGTGCAAAACTGACCAATTACCTACCAAAGCAATTTCACAAATCTTCACAGACTTGTTCCTCTCAAAGCACAACTTGGTGCTTCTCCAGCTTACATACAGAAGCCAAAGCAAAAGAGTTACACTACAGCAACTGCTGCAGATCTTTTGGAGACTAAAATGAAAAAAAAAGAGTATTTTTTCCCAATTAGCATGCCATGTTGGCAGTATGACTCACAATCCATAATTCAACACAATGGTTCTTACCAACTGGATCTGAACAGGTCTCAGCACACCCCCTTGATTACCTGTAGAGAGCTGGGTGGGAAAAGGGTTCATTTCTTTGTCCACCATTTTCTGGTATAAAGCTCTCAAACTGAATGGCTCCACAGTAAAAGGTAATGTTCCAGTCAACATTGCGTACATGTTCACCCCACTAAAAAGAAAACAGAGAAAAAGAAACCAAAATTATCAGGAACAAAGAAAAACTTTAGCTTAGGTTTTAGTGACGGCACTTAATGTTTAGTGTCTGACAGCTATTAAAAAAGACCAAAAAAAAGCTCTCTCTTCTGTTGCACACGACAATTTGGGCAAAAATTCCCAGAGGTTTGCTCACGGAAGGTCACAAAATGTGCAGGACATAAGTTGGGAGCCGAAGAACTGAGCCCAGCTCTTAGACAACTCTTTGGCTAAATACCATGCCACAATTAAGTCTCTTCTCAGGCTGCATAAACACGCTGCTTTTGGAAGCCTTGTCCTGCCATGGGTGTGGAATGACTGCCTACACTAACGGGGACATCACAGGTTCTGGTTCGGTGGCCAGAGGTCATGTCCACAGCCTCTGGTGCAGCCCAAAGATCAGGTGTGAACAATTACATTTTTCAGGGCAGAAAAATTACTGCTTGTTTATACCCAGCAAAGTCATCGATGAAAAGTGGGGTGGGCACTCCTGTACTTTTTCCTCTTAAAAGGGCTTTAAATTCAGTTTGAGTGGAATTCCTCCCTTTTGGGAATTTGTTTCCCCAGCCTGCTGAATATACATATGTGAACAGAAAGAAACTAAACCGGTGTGCTACCGCGAACCGTAATCACAGACACCATTTGTTCAGCTATGAGGAAGGGCAGGAATTAGCCATATTTTCTTCTTTTTTTTTAAAAAAAAAAAAAAAAAAAAAAGAGCAGGACATTATTACTGTAGAAGTTTAAATGGTCTACAAGAACGACTGTGCTCTGTTTGCCTGCGTTCCTCAGGGCTGGTACTCTCTCCCTTCATGTGGACGGATGGCCCACTGCTGGTAGTTGTGCAATGATTAGCTGTAGGTCTCCTTGGAGAACAGACTGCAAATTAGGCTTCAGCAAAGGAAGGTCTAAAGAGCCTTGAGGTGCAACAAGGGACCCACTGGGTCAAACTGAGAGATGAATTTGACCCAGGTCCTAGTCTCATACATAAACTATGGCCAGTCTCTCTTAGTAGTAGTAGCACTTAAACAGTACATTACATTTTCCAAGCATTCCAAATACTCCAACTTGAGAATTACCATAATTCTGTTATTTCATTGAAATTTATACAAATGTTATTAGCTCCACTTGGTGAGGGAAAATCTATCAGTACCAAAGCAAAAGCTAAAACTCAACTGATTTCAGCTAATTAGTCTCCAGGACTGGCAAGGATAACCATCACCAAGTCCATGGCCACCAGGAGAGTAGTGGAGTAGTACAGTCTAAAACAGCACTGCAGGCAAATTAATTGACTACAAAACATCTTTGTAGCTTCTTCTACCTCTGGCACTAGGGACTTCTGTCTGCTCTTTTGCCTGAACACTAGTAACCTCACAAAGGCTCACAACTTTTCTGACAAGTTTATTTCCCCTTTAGCGACCGTGCTTTCAAAGTGATGACCTGACTTGATATCACATTTCCTGTCAGACATGACTGTGGATAGTGCACAGAGCCCATATGAATGCTTGAGGATTCTTTGAGGAAAACTAAAAAAGCTGGTGGTCCTCTTGTACCAGAGCCCTGTCTTCTACTATGTGTGTCTGAATGCCACTAATCAACAGTTGTGCTTTACTGGAATTTCTCCATGCTATATGTTCAACCAATCTATACACAGGTAGGTAAAGATTCAGAACAAAATATCTGCACAATTTAATTTAGAGAGTCATGCTAGTTAAACAGCCTTTCTTGCTCAGAGTAGCCAAATACATTAATATTATTTCTCATTTGAGCAATGGGTAATGATAACAGTAATAACAAGTATAAACCAGAGAAGTAACTCACATGGACCAAACATCTATTTTGGGCCCGTATTTTTTCCTTGCCAGAAGTTCAGGGGCTGCATATGCTGGGCTCCCACACTGGGTGCTGAATGGATCAGAATAACCCAAGATGCCTGCACAGTTGCTCAATCCAAAGTCTGTGAAAGGCACAGAGACAGAGTTATGAAAGAGACAGATACAGTAAAAACCGCCCTAGAACACAAGGGAAAAAAAAGCACATTTTTTTTCCAAAAGCAAAGCAGTGAACTGCCTAAGAAAAAAATCATCCACATGCAAAAATTTTATACAATTTGTTTCTCTGAGGTGCTAAATAACACAGGATTTCCACAAGTAATAAAAAAGAACTCTTGGAACATGCACGATCATCAATTTCATACACGAAGCAAATACATTTCACTGGGAATTGGATGGCAGCAACCAGATCTGAGCTTGTCCTAGGCACTACGTGACGTACATGGGGCAGAAAACCGCCTCGCACTGTTGTATGCCATACTGCTGCAGTATGTTATGTGGAGGCTAAGTTTAAGTAGGACTTTTTCAATGTTTTCTTTGAAATGGTGTAAATGAGACATCAGATATAAGGTGGGGTGGGGTTGCTTTCTAGGACTACTGTGGTGATGTACAAATGCACAGGGTTGTAGAGTCAGCATTTCAGCTCTGAAATAATGCAGGGAGATCTTGGAGCAAGAAGGAGAATGTGTTGATTTTGCTCCCCCCTCCCCTATTCCTGCCTTGAATTATTGTATTTCTGGCCCCTGGGTGTATCTGACGCTCTTTTGCTGGCAATAATAACAAGGGACTGTCAAAAGCTGGCACCATGAGCTCATCGGGGACAAGATGCAGCCTCTCCGCACTGAAGGAGGCTGCCATTTCCCAAGTGCTCTCAGCAAACCCAAGACCAGGCTGGCGCCAAGAAGGGTGTTCCCAAAATCTCCCCTGTCTGCTCCAGTGCTGGTATGGCTGCAGGCTGAGCTGGGTTAAGGGAAGATTCTTAAAAATTAGAGCACTAAGCAAGGAAACAAAGGCAGGCAGAGTTGCACCAGCAGCAGCAGTGGCTGGGGACAATGTGCAGCCATGGGAGCACAAGCCCACCCTGACTACTGGTAGCCCACGCTTGGCTTGGGAGAAAGCAATTATGAAACCACAGCTGACACAGGAGGTGAGGAGAAATTGCAAAGGGTCTTGAAAGTGAAGTCAAACAACTTGACGTGAAAAGGGGCAGAAGCAAGACAAGCTTGCAAGGAGGAGGATGACATGGGCAAAGCTGACAGGCTGGGAGAACGGCCTTCGCTGCAGGGCAACATATGCAGCGGATCGAGAGAGGCCACAATCAAAGATGTTCACATTTATTAATAACTTGTTATTGATGACAGCCGCAACAAAAATACTGCTATTAAGAACACTGACATGTTTTTTGTTCCTTTCTTTTTTTGGATCCAGTCTTCTTAAAACTTCCCAGAATGCATGTGTGTTTAAAATTAAAACTGTCTTATACCCAAAGGATGCAGTCAGAAGAAGCAGACCACTGAAATCTCTTCCTATAGACTTTTGTCTTGCATCCATGTGCCTTGTAAAACAGCAGCTTTCTGGGTGTGCTACCCACCTGCCTGGATGAGCTAAAAGCATCACGTCTTGCAGGTCAAATATAGCAGGCAACTGACGAGCCTGTGTAATACTCTCCCTCCACAGAGTCATTAATTTTGGTCTCTCTCCCTTGTCTGCCTACTTATTTGCATAAGACTTGAAGTAATGGCCTGTCCTTTAGCTTTTTCCCCATGCTAAATTTGGCTGAAATCAGACAGGAGTTCCTCAAGGTATCAGAAACGCCCTGACAAGGTGGTCACATAAGCCTTCTTCCCTTACAAAACCAGGTGAAAAAATAATAATGCTTACAAAAAAATTCAACTATGAAGATGACTATGTGAGCTGGAGTGCACAGTGCTTTCCACTCGACTGGCTGCATCTCTGAGAGTGACACAAGCACAAGAGAGACAAGAATCACCGTATTTAACATCCAAAGAGGCTCAAAGGGGTTTTGCTGGAGAACATTGTTAAAACTGAAGGGAGGATCAAGACAATTTCCTTGCCTCTGATGGAAAACAATTGTCTCTGGACACCGCTTAATCATCTCTGCTAGATATGTATTATCCCTGAGGCTTATACAAATACTTCCAAGGATCCATTTACTTAATTAATGTATTTATTAGCTATGGCCCGAGATGAGTTATGTCAACTGTAAAATACTTTTTAAAGCTCCTATAAATAATATCTCCATACAGTATTATTCATGGTCTTTACCTTACTGTGTCATACCACCTCAAAATTACTTGACTGTAATATAATGCTTTACAATCAAAGCATATAAGGGCTATATTCCACAATGGTGTAAATCAGCATTCTTTCATCATTATCAATGGAGGTATACTCTAGTGGAGGTTTTAATTATCATATTTGCTTATTCACTTTTTTCAGCTCATTCATTTAATCTAGGCTGGTATACTCATTTTTTTCTAGTGCCTGTTGAAATGCAGAACGCACACAAACACATGCATATTGGGGTGAGGGATTTTATTGCAAAAGAAATGGGAGTATTGTTATTAACACTGTGGCAGCACATCCTGATCACAGTGTGATTTTTATCAAGGATGCACTGCTGATCTTGATAAGAAGGGCATTTCCACCAGCATTGATAATTTCACTGCCATTCCTGCCTCTGTCTTGGGCTTCCTTTCAATAAGCCGAACTAATTACAGAATTCAGTTCAAAGGCCACACTTGGTTTTCCAAAGTAAATATTATGACATGGAAACTCCAGCACCCCCACTGTTCGTACTATCGAAGTATCGCATCACACTACTACTCTTCAACGCCTCCAGGAAATCAACATTAAGCTATGGATATATGGCTGTCTCTGAAGCTATGACAGTTGGAACAGAGAAAGAGTTATTAAATAACAGAAGCCTTAGCACCAAGCTCATGGATGAGTTTGAGCATCAGAGCTCCACACAGATCAGCAGAACTACATATTGGTAGGGTCCTTTTGGTGCCATAGGTCCTTAAGCAGGATGCCAAGGACTTTGCAGGGCTTGTAAGCAGCTCTTCACGGCATCTTTATTAGATGCCTACCACCATGGGCTGGTAGATGAAGAGAAGTGAATTATTTCCAGCGTTTCCGGTCCCGATGTTCTTAGATTTGTGACTTAACAGACAGCTAAGAATAAGGCCACTTAACACAGCAAAGGGAATTTTTCTAATAATGCTATCTAAGAACATATTATAAACCACCTTGTCATGTAGCTAAAAAGAGTAACAAAAGCAAGTTGCCATTAAGCAGCTGGGTGAAGAAAGGGACTCGAGGGATTCAGTTCTCATTGAAATGCATGAACAAGCAGGGACTTTCAATGTCACTTCCTGGTACATTTTTAAACTTCATTTCACCAATTCTTTTTCCTTTATGGTGGGTTTTCTTCATTTCACAGGTATTACAAGAACAACATTTTTATCAGGTACTAGTGTCTTTGCTGCTGCACAAGACAGAGAGACCGAGCTCCCACTCCAAAGCAGTTACTGTGAGCTGGTTTTGTGGCTTAAAGTCTCTTCTCCCAAGCACGAAAGACAGCACATAATTCCTCAAAACATGTTCTTCACTCCTGAAGAACCTTCCTGGGCAGGACTACATGATGACACAACCAATCCATCATGTTTCTAGAAAGAGAGACTACAGAAAACATTGTACTAAGTGCTGAATGAGCTGAGTAAGGGAACTGGCAGGGAAGAGGACTAAATTCTCTGGTCTATAAATTTTCTGGTCTATTCCACCAGCCACAGGCAGGTGCTGGAAAATTTTCCTTGTCCTGGGAAACCCTGGTGGTAATGGAAAGCTGTGTGGCAGCTCAAGCACTACTTCTGCTATCACCTGGAAAAGAGGTGGTGGTGCTCATGAGGAGAGGTTGCCCAGGGACCTGAGGCCAGTTTCAGCAGCCCCTGCTCCAGCTTTCCTCACAAGCACAGCAGACAGAGCATGAAGAACAGAGGCACTGCTTCTTCAGGGTGAGCAACCAGAGATCACCAGCATTGCTAGCGAGATACAGCATGAGCTGACTGGGGTATTAAATCTGTTTTTACTTACAGCAAAATTATTACTCATAAAGCAACCTTTATTTTGCTATAACATTCCCAGTTGGATGGTGGGATTTAATTGCTTTGTTTTAAAATATATACTGTGTACAATCTGCTTGGCTTAAAACATCAGGCTGCAGACCTGAGGACAATATATTTCAACGCTAGCGAGGCTACGGAAGATCAAATTGTCTCTTTATTCTTCCCACACCACCCACTGCAAGAAGACCTTTCTATGCAACTGAAGCAAATGAAACTGCAGGAACAGTAATGAAGTAATTTTTTTGGCATGTGAGTTTTAATTGCACACGTATCATCTGATTAGGCCTGCCTTAGTTTGGATGTCAAGTTCACATACTGTTGTGTAATCAAACACCCAATAACAGGAAAGTTATAGAAATTCTTTAAATCTATCAGATGTTCATATAGCACTGTTGCAAACCATCTGGTATCACTTATCTGCTAAATCAAGATAATGGGTGGTATCCATCATTACTGATGAATGATTCATGCTAACATATCAGTATCCTCTTGACCCGTAGCTGAGGTAATGCAGAGTTCTCTTTTGCTATTATTTTCCCAGAGTCAGTTGATTTGCTACAGAGTAATGACTAAAAGTCATGGTAATATTTCCAAAGACTGAATTCCCTAAGTAAATTTTGAATATTTCAGATTTCATTAACCATCCTCCTCTTGTTTGTTTGGAGATACAAGTGCTTTATACATTACTGTGAGTGTCCATTTGACCTGAATGTTAGGTGTTTTCAACCACTTTTCAGATCATGAAACCTTTTGAAGAAAGAAAGTCAGTCAAGTTTTTAAGTCAGCAGCCACAGACACTGCTGTTGGCAAAAGTGTAGGCATGGAGCTAAATATAAACAGATGTTTAGGGATTTTTTTTTTTTTTTTTATGAAGGCTATACTTTCTTTTCAATGCTCACATTAATATTAATGGAGTTACACAAAGGCAGTGAGACTATACCCACCCATGATGAATCTACAATGACTGCACAACTTGAATGAATCGAGTGCTGCATACAGCTGATACCCAAATACAATCAAGACTCTATTGTTGATCTTTTTTATTTTTTAACAGCCCTCTAAACCAATTTTGTTTCGGGTGCTAGAAGCAAACTTGACAAATATAAATATAGGACTGAATTTTGTGAGCTGCTAAAAATATGTGTAACTCCCACTGACTTCAACAGAAGCATATGCATATGGGGGCAGAATCCAACCCTTAGTAAATATAAAATTATCAAGGTAATAAAATACATTACTTCTGTGGTGTCAATTCCTTAATTCTTTACAAAGTTCCTGATTTGAATATGAAAGCTGTTGGTTAAAAGATGAAGGATTGTGCCCATACCCAGATAAAGCTCAATTATTTGGAACACTTTTCTCACAAGATGCTGTCAGGAACAGCTTGATTGCTATCTATACTCTCTCAGCTCCTCTCTGCTGCAACATTAGCAGTTGTCACATGGAGGATTATGAAGTCTCAAAAACTCTCTGTATAAAACTACCAATTTTAATTACTGGAATTGCCAAACTGGTTTCATACCAATAAGCTTGATATTGTTGTCTTCATCTAGCAACAGATTTTCTATCTTCAAGTCTCTGAAAGAAATAAAATATTTTGAGTGAGCCTCCAAAATAATGAAGCAGCTTCCCATCAGTCTCGTCAGTGTATTTACAAGATTCATATATAACACATATAATGAAAGCAGTACACACCGTTCCACATTCAAAGCAGAAAGCCCCATGCATTGTCTCCTCTCCAAAATTACCAGTGCTTTCACACACAGTTTCACACCTATTCTTCAGGCACAAAAGGACTTTATAAACATTTGTTGGTACATCCTGTAATTAATAGGTTCTTCAAATTTCTCATACACTTAAACGTTTGCAGAAATCGCATACACTGGAAACACTTCAAATATATCTTTTGAAATCGGAGGTCATTTTCTTATTACTCTTCACAAGCAAAGGCTCTTCACTTTCTGTAGCTGAAGAATAAACCTTCTTCTGCAGAGACCTGAGGAGTCAAATATCTGTCCTCTGCTATTGTCTACAAGGGAGACCAGAATCAACCTTGCCCGGGGATGAAGCATCCCAACACCTTATAGAGGTGGTCAGCATTGGTACTCCCGTAAACTAGAGGTGAAAACTGAGACTTAGGGATTGAAATGACTTGCCCAATGCCATCCAGAAAGCCAGTAACAAGGCTGAGAGAAGAAGCCACACAGGTTTTCTGAGTGTCACATTAGTGCTCTTTCCACCGCGCCAGTCTGCCTGACCCCACAGAGCCACTGCACAGATCAGGGCCTGGACCAGTTTCAGGAGAGAGAGGATAAAATGAAAATGGTCTCCTTCTACAAGATGACTGACCCTTCTTCTGACATGTATGTCGGCACATTGTTCACTTTACACGTGCACTTTCATCATTTAAGAATGTGGCTGTGCTTTCCTAAATCATGTTCTACCCAAGAAAAATATCCCAGAGATTACCCCTCCACACACACAAAACCACCTCAAAATCCCAAAACGTACAGACTAAGCATGAAGTATAACATGAAAAAAACATTAGGTTGCTACACAACTTGTCCGCGACTTCTAGCAGTTGGCTGTGTATTTATCACAAGAAGTTTTTTCCCCATCCAGACATAAAATATTTCTAACAATCAGCGTACTGGGATATCAATAACTCAGACAGGCAGTGATGCTTCTCCCAGCACCCTTTGGAAAAATCTGGATAATAAAGCCATCAGCTATAATTATAGGAAGTCAGTGACATCCATGGTATTTTGCCTTTGTAAGGCAAAGGGAATAATGAAGGATGCCTCTATTACAGATGAAGATATAAAGCTTAATAAAAGAAGACAAGCAAACCAACCAAACCAAACAAAGCACTTCCACAAGAAAGGATCTGGGAGAGCAGGAAAAATAACTCTAACTAACGCCAAGCATTTTTTAAAATGTTCCTCTCCATTTCATTTTATGCCCATGCTGTGTTTCAAATCAACCTGAGGCAGAAGAGTACTTGCAGGCAGGATGCCACTCGCTTCATCAACACAACCACAAGGACCTTCTCCAAACAGATGTTTCTACGCCCCAGTGAGCATTACTTGCAGAAAAAAAATTAGGGGTTATACTATATAAATCTACCAAAGGAGAGTATTTTGCAAATTTCAGGGGTGATATCCAAGCTTTCCTAGAGCGTTCAGCTGAACACAAGGATTCCTGAGGAGAGGACTGCCTTCTGCTCTAGTTCTCCTTGCAGAGAAGCAAGCCGGAGAGACAGGAGGACAGGACCCAGTGCGTTAACTTGAGGAAACCAGCCACGTTAAAAGCGACAGCTAATTTCAAATACCACACCAGAGATGTAACTGCATTTGGCCATATTTTGACCAAGACCCAGCCTTCAAAGAGCCCACTCTCCAGTTCTGCTCCCATTCCAAGGGTAGGCATTGGCTCCGGGCCATGCATCCCATAAGCCCGCCTGGCATCCATGACATCCTTCTCCTCATCCATGGGAGACTCTACGTGCTATGACGGCACTGCAGACCCACCACCCTGTGTCCTCCAAAAGGAGCTTCCCTCATCGGGCAACCGCTGCTTGATACAAGGAGGACGTGCCCTGCCAGACAGAGCTGGATCAACCCACTTGTGCTTCCCTCTACTGACAAAAAAGAGCTTATTTCTTTGTGTGCCCCATCTTTATTGTTTGCAGGTGTTGGTTTTCACAGACAGTGTGATTAGCCTCTAGAAAGATATGGGGGCTGGGAATTTAACAGGAAAGACTGCCAGAAAAAAACCAGTATGGGAAAGCAGGGGAAAAAAAAACCAAACCAAAACTGAAAACCAAAACTCAAAACTAAACTGACATCAACAGAAGCACATGGAGCTTCGGGTCGTACACTGCAATGCTCAGTATAATGTCTCAAAGCAAGGAGAAAGACCATTTGGAAGCTCTGAGTACATTAAACATTGGCTAAGAAGAGGTAAGACTAAAAATAAAAGCAAGGGAATGGACAGATGAAAGCTCTAAGTTGAGGAGAAGAGACACACAGGCAATTAGAATAATAAATGAGTGACAGGAGGGCTAAAAATAAACACAAGAAAATATATTTAAAAGGATTCAAGGTTAAGTAAACAAAACTAAAGGTAAATATTACAGGGCATTTTAAAGCTATCAGAGGAAAAAGAAATTAAATATAGCCTCAGTATAGACTGCAATCAGACCTGGTTAATTAAAGGTGTTTACCCATATGTCTATTCTTAGCAGGTTTGCCAGTAAGTGGTAACTGATCTAATAGTCCATATGCACCACATTTTGGTCAACCTGTGTCAATACAAAAGTACTTCTTTTTGGTGTGACACTGGGAATTACAACAACAGGTATTTACTCCTTGATACAACCTAACGAGAAGATTCCATGTGAACCAGCCTTAGAAACACGAAGCCAAAGTCATAGAAACCAAACCAAAAATCCCTAGACTAAGTCATAGTTGGAGAACCACTGCTACACAGCTGTGGACCGTTGGGTGGGCACAGGGCAGGAACCCCGGCGGCCCGATCCCCTGCAGCAGGCTGGCAGCGAAGCATAGAGATGGCAGGTACCCACAGCCAGGACAGCAGAAGTGCAAAAAGAGTCTGTGCATCTGGACAAGATCTGTGTTTGTCAGGACAGAAGCGTTATTCGGTGAATACTTAAAGAGACTTTAACAATCCACCAAATTACCATCTTTTTAACAAGAAGTGCAGTGGTGCAATGCAATTATTTATCTTCTCATCCTACAGAGAGACAGGACTGATTGCCCCAAAGTTCCTAAGTGCTTTATTATGTCAGTTTTGTCCCATTCAAACTAATTATTTTTTACAAAGAGAGGCTCATGTGAGTTGCTGCTTTATTTGAATGTTTACATTAATTCGTTGTAATGGAAAAAGTAGCACCATTGCACCCAAAAGCATTAGGCAACCCTGAATTTCATGCACTATATTATAAATGGTTTAACAAATAAAAGCAAACCTTATTTATTCTAGTCAGTGGAGACTTTTTCATGTTTTTAATAGCTGCAAACTACAAGCGAGGCTGTGAGTTACCTGCTATGCCATGCACAGCACTTGAAATCCTTGTTGAAGTCGATGGGAAGACCCAAAGCATTGAACATCATGCACACACATGCGTCCCTGCAGGCTCAAGGGTCCTCATACTTCTGCATGTGGCTTGCACTTCTTGATGGATTGCTACAGCTGGACACAGCTGCTTTGTAACTGGAAAGGCTGGGCAAGCGCTCCCTTATGCAGCCAGCAGCAGGTGCCACGCTACGTGGGGCTGAGGCGGGGAGAAGAAATGTAGTTGCTGGAAACCTTCAGTTTCCCTCTTTGAGGTAAATCTGATCTTGTTCCTTACTCTCTTGGTGCCTCAAATAATGGGACTTTTGGGTTTGTTTTTTTTTTCTGCTTAAGCAAATTTTTGGCATTTGTTGCTGAAAAGCTTCAAAATATCAGAGCACACCCTCAGTGATTAAAATAGCAGAGGAACAAAAACTTTTACCTTTTTCTGAGGGCTTAGTACCATGAATGTTGAGAGTGTCTAACTATGGTAAATGTTAGTCAAATCTATGAATAATAAAGACACTCAAGAAAGATCAGCTGTGTTACCACAACATGGAGAATCAGCATATATTTATGCCTTGTCAGCGTGTGAAGCCAGCAGCATACACCCATCGTTCCCCATATTTGAAAATACGCATGCTTCATGGGATGGTTTGTTTGGGAGTTTGTTCTTCTGTTGATGGGGCTGATTTTTCTCTGGCTTTCTTTGAGCATAAACAGACCCTTTGGAAACCCCAACTCCAGCCAGTGTCTCCACCAAGCATCAGATGAGCCTGCTTCACTGAGTGAGCTACCCCAGGCTTCAGCTGTCATCTCAGCATGCTTTTGAAAAGAAGCTTATTCAGTGCCATTGCAAGCATCAGACAGCAAAGTTGAAGTTTTTGCATTTCACACTTTCTTTCTTGTCTGGGGGAAGAGGGATGAGAAGCAAGGTTTTACCAGCAAGCAGCTGCAAAGCAACAGTGGTTGGCTGCTGTCTCCTGCATCTTATTTTTAATCAGAAGAGCACCACAAAGAGTCAATCCTTAACTACCAACCCCCAAAGAACACTTTCTAGCCCCATGCAAGAACTGTCAATGAGCTGGAAAGGTTGCAGAGATTTAGGTTCATCATCACGTCAATATGCATTTCAAAGGCTTTGTTATCACAATATTATTTATTGAGCCTTATTCTTCCCTCAGTCACAATGTTCCTGAATTCAACGTCTTTTCCTCTGTAAAAGAGGAATTTGGTCCATTGTCTTCACTAAAACAATGTTTACTTTGTTTACAGCAGAGTACTCCAAGAGAGAATGCCCAAAGGTAACTTTGAAATCTGACATAAAATAGAAAGACAAACCAGCTTTGCACTTCAAAAGCAGACTTTGCTCTGTAGTGCAGGATCTGTCATAAATATTGCATCAGCAGCCAGACTACTGGCACTTAAAATTAATAGGATGGAAGTTATCAAAGACAACATGTCAAAGTGGCAGGTACCAAGGCAGGAATTCCATAGCACCCTGAGCAACCAGATCATATGGCACCACCCTACTCAAAAAAAAAAATGGAAAAATAGATAAACGCCACCAAAAACCTCAAGGGTTTTTGTGTCTTCGAAACCCCTGATCTGCTTTTAATTACAAAATGGCAATGGAAGGTACAAATATGCTGCCATGAAGACAGAAAAAGGGGAAATACAGAAAGCTATCTTTGCTACCAGTACATTATTACATTTTTTCTTTGACATCCTGACAGTAATTGCACTGAATGGGATTGAATTTTCTTAAAATTACTTTAAAAGGGTTGTTGAGAATTTCCTGTGGGATGCAGTGGAAAGCAGCAAGGCTTTCATTTCATTTTCTCTGTTGTCCTTACACTCCCAAGGGACTTGTTGTTCATCCTACTTTTTGACGGCATGAAGGCCTATGTAAACACCCTCTGAAAAGAGAAAGCCTCACTAGATACTGCCATTTGGGTTTGTTTTCCTCTGTCAGGGGGAAATATAAATATTCCTACCTGATTCACAGCTGAGCTTGTTGCAAGTATATTTTTAGCAACCAATCAGCTCTTCTGATAGAAGGAATGAAACACAAATTATTACATTAGATTATATTTAGAACAGCAGCATTTCTTTTTCCAGCAAGCGGCCAAGGAGTTCTCTAAATAAAATGAGGTTTCTTTAAGTTTTTTAATTTTAGGCTGTTCACACACCGGTGCCTCTTAAGAGATGTATTTCCATTGAGTTCTGGGCCCCAGCTCTCATCCAGAGTGCTTTTCCGCCATGCCAAGTCTTGACTGTAAGTTATGAAGCTTACCAAGTAATATTCATCAAATAATGTAATAAAATTTCATGCAACTTATTTCAGCCATCTTTTTTTCATCCTGAGTTATACAACAGGGCAAGTCTTCTATATTATTTCCCAAATAATGGAGACAAAAAGGCTGGTAACTTTTGTAATAAAACAGTCAGTGAACACTTTTCAATGTCCTTCCCCGTTCAACGTGAACAATGAAAGCGTTTGGAGAGAAACAAACAGCAGAGCGCTTTCTGGCCTAGGATGCCATGTTTTGTTTCACATGCAGTGAATGTGAACACCCACAGACCACCACGTAGATGAAAGTGCTGTTATTTTTACCTGTTTTAAAAATAACAACAATAACAACAGAACATCACCATTTTATCCCTGGTGAGAATGAATCAGACTTCTGCACTATTTTTTCCCCCTCTTCAGTTGCCGATTGAGTAGTCTGTTTTTAGAGTTGCCATGGTCAAAAGCCTGAGATGCTGAAGGACAACACCTGGGGTAACTATTATTCTTTCTCCCTCTCTTGATCGCAGAGAAACAGGGGAATAAATCTGGATCACGCCATCAGTGTTCTTCCTGCGTCTCTGTGCAGTTCTGCATAGTTTATTTGCAGAATAAGTCAAGACATTGAATGGTTAAGCTAGAGAAAATACTTGCAGATATACTGCCTGTGATTCTGTCAAATGTTATCAGTTTAAGCAGAATTGGACCTGCTCATTATCTGGATGGAAGACTCCCAAGAACAAGCTCTGTGCCGCACTGCGATTTGAGAAATGGAGTGGATAGAGTACACTGCCTTTGGGGCAGGATTAATCCAACACCACAGGGCTGGATGGAGAGAGCTCAGCTGCCAGATGCAGCAGAGCATGTCAGTATTTCTAGGGCTGCCACCTCCCTCCACTCACAAAGGTCCCTCACACTTCAGTCTCTGTGATCTGCGCTTATTTTCACAGAGAGAAAGAGGAGGTGACGCCCAGAACTGCTGCAAGCGTGCAGCATCCCTACAAGAAATCAAGTTCACCTCCTCTCTGGACCCCAAAGCTTTGCCTTCTTCCCACCACAGTAGCCTGTCATTCTGTCTTGTACCTAGTGAATGAGTTATTTTGGTATAAAATGTGGGTTTGAATCCTTTCTGAAAAAGAAGGGAATCAAAGCCAAACCTACCAACCTCCCCAGAAGTTTTTCGGCCACAATGCAGAGGCTAAATTTTTCAGGGAGAGCAACTGCTGCTGAACTCATACTGCTACTAAAAGCTAAATGTGCTCATCATCTTCCTGCCAGGTTTTCCTCTGCCCATCTCAGAAACTTGACCTTTTTCCTTCCTCTCTCTCTGTACATACTGGATATCAATTGATGCCTTAAAGCAATAAGTACACTTCTTCCTTTTCCATGCCCCAGATTGTGGGGTTAATAATTTAAAGAGGTCAGCAGTTTAGCTGCTGACAGAGAACCTGCAGAATAGACCTGGTGGCTGCTCAAATATTTATATTACAGTGGTACAAGAAAGTTACCTTGAGATAAGACCTCAGTACACCTGAGGCTGTACGCACACGTAGCACCTATCCCTAGTGGATCACAGGGAACATGCAGAGAGATTCATGACAAAAGAAAGCAGTTTTCAGAGTGCATGGAATTCCACCAAGCCAGATGCACCAACAGCGTTGCACAGCAGCAGGCAGCTCACCACACAGCTGGGCACAGCTGGAGGAGCTGGCTGTGGGCTGCCTTTGCCAGCTGCCTGTACAGCAGCCCTGTGGACATGTATACAATAGCTCTCCATCTTCTGCAAAGTCAGTGTAGTCAAGGAAGTTAAGACCCAGCTCCTCAAAAGTATTCAGGTGTCTAGGTTCTACTACGTGCCTACATAACCTAAGAGGATGAGACCTACACAACTTGCTCAGCATCATACGGGAAGTATGTGAGAGTCCAGACTTAACACCAGTTGGCCCAAGTTTAGAAAGTGGAGCCTCCTTCGTAGACAATACCCTAAAAATACACCTAAGAAAAAGAGACATACTGGCTCAGACCAAAGGTCCACCCAGCCCACTGTCCTCCTGTCTCCATAGTAGCCAAGAACACAGAGAAAGGAACAGGGACAGGCAATCACATGTGACACCTCCACCTGTACTCTCCCAGTCTCCACCACCTGTTGTTCAGGAACTTCAGACAGAGATAGCTACTATTCATTCAGCAACCCTCTGCAGACTTCTCTCTGAAGAAGTTGTCTTGTTTCCCCTTGAGCCCAGGTAAATTTTTAACTCTGCAGCATCCTTGTCCTGCAAGAAGATCCACATTCTGCTTATACACCAACTGAATGAAGGTTCTAAAGAAGGAAAGTGAAATATCTCAACAGCTCTGGATTTCTCCTGAGAAGACACTAAGATATGAACTGAACGGCTGCATACTTTGCATTGTACTTCACAGTATTCAAACTTGTGAGGTCCCGTCAAGGCAATATAACCAGCGGAAAAAGCAAAGAAGCAGAAGCAAGGGACCGTTCAGGCTTCGTCCCAGCTGTGTCACTGTGAGGCTTTGGGCAGATCAGTTCATCTCCCCATACTGGTGCATTTCCACCAGTAAACCAACAGACACAACCACCTCCTCAAAGAAATAGTGAAATGATTCATTAGTTAATGTTGGTACAGTGCTTTGAAGAGGCAAAATAGCGCTACTTGCAGGAAAAGAGCCCAGGCTCATCTTTAAAATGACAGCACAGCTCCCATGTGCTCATCTGGTTACACACTTACTTAAGTGCTTTCTGCAGATACTTTCTAATATCTACAGTATGAGAATCTAAACAATATCATGAAGATTAGCCAAAAAAAGCTGTCAGGAATATGTTTTTATAAGGAATGCTCCTTACTCTGCAAAGAAATGCCAAAATACCACTTAGAGGCTCTGAGATAAATTTTAACCAGAGAGGGTTTTTAAGATTACCTGTGAACTACTCCTGCCCGGTGAAGATGTTCAACTGCCAGCATAAGCTGCCGGATATATTTGCGGGCTTCATGCTCCTCAAGTCTTTTTTTCTCGTAGATCTTGTGCATCAAGTTGCCACCAGGGCACAGCTCCATGACAAGGTAGTAGCTGTTTTCAGTTTCCAGTATATCCAGCAGCTGAGCAATATTCGGGTGGCGGATCATTTGCTGGATCTGCCCTTCCCGTCGCAGATTCTTGGTGACATAGGTGTCCTTTTTGGCTCTTTTCTTGTCAATTACTTTCACTGCCACCTAACGAAAAACAGAGGAGAGGGAGTTGTTAGTAGTCATATTGATGATTTATTGCTTTAACCTTGTATAAACAACCTCAGTTTGTTGTTTGTTTTTTTTTTTAATAAAATAAAATAAAATGAAAGGATGTCAGTCTCAACTGACACACCATGGTTTCAGGCACAACTGCCCAGGTCAGAGAAACAGCTGCTTTTCCAACTCCACCCTATCGACTGACAATTTCTTTCTTTATCCCCTTGTACGATGACAGATAAAAGTTATTGGAAGGAAATGGATAACAAAGGGCAGGAGACAATCTCATTAACCATACCCAAATACTTAGCACACTTAACACTGGACAGCTATTTCATTTATTTTCGCAGAAAGTCTTCAGGCTGGCATTTACAAGCTGTAAATGTCATTTTTGGCTGTTCCTGGCTTTCAACATACGACTTGAGATGATATAAGTTTCTCAAACTATAGCTAAATGTTAGTTTTGCAGTATTAAAAAGAGAAAAAAAAAAAAAAAGAAAACCAAAACTATTTTGGTATCACTCTTCTGGCACACTTCTTTTCCCCTCTTTTAAAATGTACATGACAGACGATCCCCTTGTTACTTCTAGAACCGAGCAATGCCGCAAAATCCAAAAAGGCAAAAGGTTGGTTTTTGTTTTTTTTTTTTTAATACAGATTCTCCAAGTCAACTGGAGCCCATCATCAAGGCACGTAATGAAACTAAGCAGACTCCGTATCAAAATCTATGACACAGCATGTGCTAGCACCTATCCAAGTGCTTTCCTTCTCATTGCTGGTGCAGAATGCCACTGGAGAACAAAAGGATGGGACTGGATAGGTTATTGGTCTTTTCTATGCTTAAAGCATCTGATTCTTTTTATTGTTTTAATGGATTCACTAAATAGTCGCAATAAAAACATCTGCCTTTTTCTTCCTCAAATTTATTGACATTTATTTATTGAGATTTCTTATGCAGATTGGGTGCTGCAGACTTCAAAGATTTAACAGTGTGTGCCAGGCTGAGCAACAGAAGGCACCGCAAAATCCTCCTCCCGGGCTCCTCATTTCCTCAGAGCTCTGCAACAAAGGAAGTCCTTCACCACACTCACCCACACCCCGCAGCTCGCCCATCATTACCCAAGTGACAGCCACTTGTTTGTCAGGACAATAAGCAGGGAAACACGGTGCTTGGTATTCCTGCATGACATTGAATTTTACGTGATGTGAAAAGAGTCTTGCTTGCACAGGTACACATCCAACAAAATGCACAGAAAACGCCATGATCCCTCTGCCCCCCAGATGGAGGCACAAAGATGCTGCACCCGCATCTTTGCTGTCTGCCTTGATTTGGCCCTGGAGGATCTCCAGCACTACCTTACTCCTACAATGAGAAGGAATAACAAATGTGGGGAAAACCTCAGTTTTATTTACCCCAGCCTTAACACCCAGACAACAGCACAAGCCCAAGAGACTTCCCTCCATCTCCAGCTCACACAACATCCTTCCTCACGGCCAACAAACTGCTCGCAGCAAACTCACTTTCAACTATGGCCAACAACATTGTTACAATCCATGGCACTGTGAGCTGGTGGGCTTCAGCAACAGGGAGACAAACTTATTCAAAGCATGCCTGGCTGCCTTCCTAGCTTGAGAAAATGCCAAGCACATATCAAGCACATGACATCTGCCAGTCTGACTAACCTTACCTTTATTTTTTTCTGTGAGCAAAGGAAACATTAAATTAGCAAACATTTTGGTTTTCCTTTAGAGAACAAAAAATACGGTCTGGAAATACGACAACAAAAATAGATCCAGATCCTTTGACATGAATGCCCTAAATCAAAGTCAAGTTTTATCAGCAGAGGAACTGAAGAGTAAAAGCACAGGAGTTGGGACTTCATGGTCCGTCTTGAGAGCCAGAAGTCAGGATCACTGAGCACGTTATTAGCTGGATACATTGCTGCTGCTAAAAGATAATTCTGATGAAATACCCTTGATAAAGAGATAAGGCTGAACACCGCACACGAGACAGCTGCCTGGGTGAAGCCCAGAGCGGCATCAAGACCATAAACACCTGGAAGCTACATTCTTGACTAGTCTAAAGAAAGTTAATTTAGTTGTAAGATAAGACAACAGGCAAATCACAGCTTAACTTCACAATTTTCTAAAGCCTCAGGTGATTCACCAAGGTAACAGTCTTAAATTAGTACTTTCTTCCATCTAATGAGATAGGACTAGAACACAGAGGCTTACACGAATTATTTAGACAGCAAACCACAGAAGTTATTCTGGTGAGGACAAACAAATTCAGGGGTTACAGAAACATGAGATGCCAGTTTGTTTGCTGGCAACACAACACAATCTCTGCAAAAGTTTTTTTTTTTTTAAAAAAAAAGCTGATATCTTCCATAGCTGCAGGATACAAAACACGGAGTATTAACAGTATGGTACAGTAATCTGTTACTCATATTGGTAAGTCATCTCCAGTTCACTGACCAAAAAAAAAGCACATTACTAAATGCAGGCACATCTGCTGCCGAGGCTGAGCATGGGGCAACCACCTGAACACCCAGGAGACAGAGTGTGTCTAACTACTTGATGACTTTTTCACTATCACAAAGAACCAGCTTTCTGTGAATTAAGGACAAATTTTCTCCTCAGTTTTGACAGGTACTTGGTCAGGTACCTTACCTATCTCACCAGACAAGCAAAGCTGCTGTCAGACCCACCTGTGACTCCGAGCTACCCTTCCCCCCTTCAATGCCCCTTGTATCAGGTCCAAGAGATCCACCAGCACAGCTGACAGAGCTGACAAAGGACAAAACAGCTTTGTTTCAGCAACAGCTTTGCATAGGGGAAAGAGAAGAGTAAAACACCAGTTAAGACTATGGGAGACTTTCATCTCCCCAACCAGGCAGGAAACTAGCTTCAGCGTGATACCGCTTGCTCCTGGGACAGACGTGCGTGGGACCTTGCCTCCTCGCACAGGTCACTGCTGCAGCACAGGCCACCCTGGAAACATCACAGACAGATGCCTCCCCCTCCATCTCTATTTAAAAGCCAGGGTCTTTAAGGAAACTTCTGTAAACCTTTTGCTTTCTTGTAGGATCATTTTGCTTTCCTAAGTAAAATGCATCCCACAGTACAAGGGTTGTGCAAACGGACCAGCACTGTGAGGCAGAGCTCTGGTGGGATTTTTTTTTTTTTTTGCTTGTTTGGGTTTCTTGGATTTTCCCCTGATTTACTATTTATTCTGAAGCATATAGAGGAAGTGTAGGGATCAAACCCTGTACTTAGTTACTCCAAGGTTGATTTAGCTAAATATCCCAAATTTTGAGTTTATCCAGAGTTAGACCAAAGTAAGTGAAGACCAAATGTGGCCCGAGGCATTTAATATACACAGCCTCCTGTACAGTATGTATGTGTGTGCATACACCTCAAAATTTCATTCATGCAAAAGGAAAAAGCATTCAACAGAAAAAATACCATAGATGTTAGATAACCAGAAAACAAACACATTCGAGCTTTCATAACCTACTCAAGACATGTCAATTATTCAGTTTTGCTCTCCCAAGTTTCAAGTAGTGGCTCTGTCTCTGCATCATGTGCATCATGCCTATCTCCTGACTCAAATTCTTGGCCAATATTGGCACAGAAATAAAAAATAAATGATAAAGCAAGTAATTACTCCGAATATGTAGCAACAGTAGCTCTTGACATTCAACACTTTGATGTGGCTAAACCTTTGCTGTGTAAATAAATAAATGGTTTAGGTTATTCCGTGTTATGAGGTACAAAGATGAGTAATAGGCCATATTTTTGGTTCCCAAGACCTAGAATTACACCATTGGAATTAAATACTTTCCTGAAGTTTATGGTGTGGCACATCATATGAGCAATTGCTGCTTCTCTCAATTGTCGCACTAAAATAGCTCAGGTTGGGCTAAAGCATACTGGAGCGGAGGTGAGGAGGAAGTGCAAGCACTTCTCCACAAATCGTTGGAGGAGACATTGCTTACAGAACCATCAGCAAATACAGGCACGTGTCATCACCCAAACAAAGGCACACGTTTGACACACATGGGTGGAGGATTTTTGCCAGCTTGTATTTTAGGAGGGTTTGTGAATCTGTCAAAGAGAGCTGGGGGGTGGAGCTGACTGGCACCAAACTGCATAAAAACAGTCACAGCGAGGCCCTGAGAAAAAAGGCAAGATATAGTTTAAAGGACCAAACATTGCCTGGAGGAATCTGGGAGCCAGGGTTCGGTTGCTAGATCACTGCTCCATCCAGAGAAAACACATTTTTCATCCTCTTTGTAAACAGTCATGGCTCGACATACGCAACTGCAATAAAGCATGGAAGGTGGCTCACACACGTCCTAATCATGCCCCAGCATGCCATCCCTATGTCCATGCAAGAGGCACATTTCACATCAGGCAGCTCCCCAGACCTGCGCCCTGACAGCACACTGAGCCTACGGAGCCGGTGATGGGTCTGCTGCGCCAGGCAGGAGGAACCTCCAGGTGCTCAGTGGGCAGAAGCCAAAATCATCTTCTCCCCTTCCCCTTCCACTGGCTATTTATAACCCCACCAGTGACACTTGAAAAAATCACGGGTCAAGAAGTAGCGCTTTTGTTAGTGAGGGAAAGATGTTTCTTTACCCAGCAGACATGCAAAGATCTATTTAGATCATTGCCTGACTGCTCTGCAGCAGTGACATTTTGTCACACTGCAGTTCAGTCTTACTGAGAGGTGTTTTTTTTTCTTCAGACCAGCCCCCCATAAACACTCCTTGGTGCTGGAAGTCTGCTTTGAAAACTCGTATTTTTCAACTTCTGTTGTTCTTCAGTAAGAAATTCAAGGCTTGGTATGCCTTCAGTGTACTGTTGATAGGAAACCAAAAGTTGGATACCAGCATGAAAATGAACACAAAAACATAATAATACTGGGGGCAGAGGGGATCCAAGCCTGCTGTAGAACCTATTTTCAACTACATACAAATTTCATGTAAGGCAATCAGGTTTCTGTTTTTTCAGTTGGTTGTCCCCCCTCCCCCAAGCTGCGAAGAGCTTTATATAATCAAGCCATGGTTTTACAGCAAAAACATCTATCCCTCTACCTAGCTTTCCCTGGCAAATCTCAAGCTTCAACCAGTTAAGACGCATCATGATTCCACCTGAAAACCAAGTAACAACCATATAACCAGCAGTGACTTCAGTCACACGGTACATTAGCACTCAGGGAACCAACATCTGAGTTCAGCCTTGGGCTTCTCGCTTGCCAGATCAGATGCCTTTGCACAGGCTGTCTTTTGGCAGGAGGATGCACCTCAATGGCAGCAAGCCTTCCTGTCTGCCAGAAAACGGGTTTTCTCAACGGCCTGTTTGCCAAGTCAAAGTCAAGAGGTCTTGAACAATACTTAACGTCAGATGCTTGCAATAACAACTAGAAGAACAGTTTCATAGTAATGGCTGCAGCTTAGCAAATAATGTTATAACATGTTTAACTTTACAGTGAACAGAAGATGGCATGTGACCTTGCAAAATCAAGGCATGACATTTGGAGGACTTTTAGAGGTTTTCCCCCACTTACCCAACCACTTGAATTGTTTCCTTCTGCAAATTCTCTCTTAACTTTAAATGAGAGGAAGGCAGTTCCTGCAGACCTCTGCCAAAGGGAGCTTCAGCTGAATTGAGAGGAAACTGGTTTGAATAAGAATCCAGCAAGCACTGTGGGATTTGGCCAGCAAACCAACATAGCACAACAGAAGCAACCTCAACTATCAGACAGACTGTTCAACTATTGGAGAGGCAACTCCCCTGCCTTTTTTCTTTCTTTCTTCTTTTTTTGTTTTTCCTTCTCATTTTTGCCAAAGTCTACTTCTGGCAGACCTGCTGGAGGTGACGCCAAGCCAGGCAACAGTGCCAGGTCTCAGCATTGTCCTGGGCTGATGAAGTTCAGAGCCACAGGCTCAGAGTGCAGCTGGGGACACAGGCCTAAGACTTGGACTTCTACAGCTAAACCCACAAAACCTTACTGTCTAGTTAGAGCTTAGCCAGGAGAACAAGATGAAGAGCCAGATCATGTAGATATTTTACAGCCATTGTTAGTGCAAGCCCATCTACAGATTTTTTTTTTTTGAAGTGTCCAAGAAGGCTCATGCAATTAGTTAATTTTCTTTTCTTCCTTTCTTTCAGTGATAGTTGTCTAGCATCACTTGTAGCTTGCTTTGTATTTACCACTGTTCTCACCACAAAAATCTGAGCTGTTTTCAAAACCA